GGGAAATCCAGACTCTTGACCATTTAGCGTTAGCCGTTAGCTTCACCAGCTGATCACACGGTCACCTGGTTTCTGCGCACTCCAGTTATTCTATAAACACCTCCATGAGTGGTTTCAGTTTCATAAACTTCCACGTGTAATCAAATGTAATTAAATATAAAACTGCTTTGTTCATAACTTTTAACTTAGGGGTGGCTTTCAGTCACTTTCTTTGGTTTTGTTTGAGATGTTGTGTTTTGTAAACTTGACCTGACCCATTTATGGTCTGAATGCCTGCAGTGTCCTGGAGTCGGATCCTGAGTTTGGGTTTGAAGAAGCCAAACAACAGTTGGAAGGTACTTTTACCTCTTTAATGCTGTTCACTAAGCAGACACCACGGTGAGCAGGAGATGAACTGAGCAGCTTCTTCCACTGTGAAACATGAAACTTACATTCATTAAATACAAATTAGAAAGTRTAAAATTACTCCTTTGGTCAATATTTATGTTCAAGAGAAGTGCAGCCTGTGCGGATAGATTAAGGGAACATATTTTAAGCAGGTTACAATGACATACTTTAATATCTTTTATTATTATTTTGCAGGACTCWGCACTAAACTCTGCTCAGTGGAGCTACTATAAGCGAATTTTAGTCCATTTAAAACTTCTCACATCCAAAATTTAAAGCAGTTTTTGCATGTGCTGTATAGTGCATGGATTATTTTACATCAGATAGTCATTTAGATGAAAGAAAACAAGTTTTCAACACAGTTTTGGTCCCATGTGGAATATATTGTCACAAAGCACCGATCCATGAACATGCCAAAAGCTATAGAGCCATTTAGTAAACAATATGTAATGTTTTTGATGATTTTYGGTCAACCGTATCACAGAAAYGGCTGCACCGATCAACATGAAATTTGGCAGGAATGTAGATGTGTCCAACCTGCACTGCACTAGAAACGGTTTTGGATAGACCCCATATTTGTGGAGGGGGCTTCACCTGAAAAGGGTTTGTCTGAATAAACAATAATGCTTATAACTCAAAAACTATTGACCACAGGAGCTTCAGATTTTTGTTGTTTAGCTCTGATCCATCGGACCCACCAATGAGCCTAGTTCAAGTATTTTTCATCACATTTCCTCCCCTTTCCTTTCAAATTAAAAGCCCATTTGGAGCCTCCGTTTAAGCAGCAATTTTCTAAATAAAAAGGGATCTGTTTCTAACAGGTCATCCTTTTCAGCTTCTACACTTTTTATAAAAGAAAAATGTCTTTGTGGAGTTTTTGAAAATTGTTGCTCAGACTGACTTTTCTTTCCTCCCTCAGAGCGTCCGTGGCTTGTTGATTGCTACGATCAGTGGCTGGAGAGACTAAAGGTCAGACTCGTTTTACTGACGGCTGGGCTTCACAGCTACAGAGCTCATTTGATCAATCCTCAACAGAAAACACACATTATTGTCACAACTGATTTTTGACGTGCTGTTTTTGTGCTCTCGAGGATTAATGCTTGAACACAAYTTATCCTGGTTTTCTGTTGCAGGGTCCCCCTCACAAGTGTGCCTTGTTTTTCGTAGATAATAGTGGCGTGGACATCATTCTCGGGGTGATGCCCTTCGTCAGAGAGCTCCTCTCTCGAGGAACAGAGGTGAGGATGTGAAGACCGGGCTCTACATATTTACTGCTTTTGGTAGAGCGTGTTTAAAACTTGCTGATGTTTTGAAATGTTCAGGTTGTGTTGGCCAGCAACTCTGGTCCGGCTTTAAACGATGTAACAAACAGCGAGCTGCAGATCCTCACTGAAAGAATTGCTGCTATGGATCCTGTCATTCAGTGAGTTTAAATGATGGATTTTCATTTATTTATTTATTTGAAAGAACCGTTGAAGGTTTCAGAACTGAATATAAATGTTGTATTTTAAGCTTCTGAAAGAGAGACTTGTGGTGTTTGTTGTGCAGGACCAGCCTGCAGGAGGACAGGTTGACATTAGTCCAGAGTGGTTCCAGTTCTCCATGTTTGGATCTCAGGTCGGGTATTTTCCTGTTTTTKCTGTGTCTGTGTACCTATAGGCCTGTCATAATAAATAATTTTGCTGGACGATAAATTGTTTATTGCAAAAGRTGATAATATCATTTGAAGACMATTTTAAACTAAAGAAAAAGACTAAAGATCGACCAATACAGGTCTTTGATGGTCGGTACTCATTATTTTGATGTCAGTCTAACTGATACACCAATACGTGTGGCCAATTTCTTTTGGCTGATTCTTGAAGCCGATACTCATTTTTTTCCCTCTATTAACATGATAAAAAAAACAATAATGAATGTTACGCAAGTCTCAGTTAAAAAAAAAGAAACATTTGCCCTCAGTCGACGTAAACATCCAGGAGAATTTAGTTCCACAGCTCTTCAAAGCCATTGTAGGGGACGGCCAAATCTGTCATCAGTTGTTTGGGAACAGAAGAAAATGTTTTCGGTCAGGCAGACAGTAACAATTTTCCATCTGCCTTAATGTCCGCTGGTACAACCCATTGTGGCGAATCCAATCAGACAAATAGTGTGGGCAATCCCGCCGAGCCGAGCTATCAGCTTCTCCAAGATCAATTCCATCTGGCCAGCAAAAGTCCAGGAACCACAKCCGGCCCTCGACCCTCAGSAGAACCGCTTGCAGACCGAGTCCAGCTCGCTCAAGGCAAAAGTCTGAGTGCTGATAGAACGGCAATCCTTCATATCAGTCAGGCAGCCAGGAAATGAGCAGCCAYCGAYGCTGTTTTGTAGAACAGAGACCACCAAGCCAATCTGTAGAATCCAGTGATCAGAATCCAAATATATATCCAGAACAGAGCTCCCACCTTTGACAGGTCCTCACATGGAAGAAAACTTTGTTCCAAAAATTTATTAAGAGACCAGCTAACCAAATCCATAAAAATAAAAATATCCATAATTTCTGTTTTCAGATGAAAATGTAGAGAAGGCTCCGAGCAGCAGAGCAGGGAAGATAAGGGAGGGCAGGAGAGAAGGGAAAAGCATCTTACTCCTCTGAGAAAAAATTAAAATTAAATCATTTTTATGTAAAAATATGTTTTTACATAAAATAAAATGACCATGTTTCAATATCCCAGCATTTTTATGCAAAACAGCAACAGGCCTAGAAGAATAGAATAGAATAGAATAGAATAGAATA